CCCCGGGCTCCAGGCGCGGATCTGCGGGCGTGCGGGACGGCCCAGCCGCAGAGCGTCTCAGGGGAGGGGCAGCGGAGAGTGTTTTCTGTTACCGTGTTGATTATTTTGTTCATCCAACGTCTGAATTAGAAACAGGAACCTGGGAGAGTCCTGAGGTGAGCGGCGTGCCGCCGCTGCCCAGGACGTTTCACAGCTCCTCGGCAGCCATCGGAGACTGTCTGTACGTGTTCGGAGGGGGGCACAAAGGAACAGAACCGGTGAAAGACCAGCAGCTCCACGTGTTTGACACAGGTACCTCGGGACGTGTAAAGGGCCGTTACGGCGAACGGTGGAATCCATCCTCTGTTGAACCCGAGTTCTGCGCTTCGCGTTCAGAGAGGTGGAAAGGTTGGGCCGCAGCTTTGGCTGTGAGTTAAATGGGTGGGTCGTGTTCCTCGCTGTTGGCGTAAGCTATCTCTAGGCCATCATGGGGGATTTGGGCCAAAAAGGCGGTGTAGAGCTCTGGGATGAGGGCTGCCATGGGGGATGCGAGTTGTTTGTCACATCTGCCTGGCAGATGATTCCCTTCCGTGGTGGCACCATCCTGCAGCGCTCCCGTCCCGCCGGAGTTGTCCTGATCGCTGCTGTGGCCCCGTGTGCACCAGGACGGGTCCGCTTTCCACCCTGAGTTAGCCCTTCCTGCTGCGGGGTGACCGAGCACGGAGCTCCCTGGGAGGGCTTACCTGCGCGTCACCATACGGCGTTCACTCCCCCCCGACCCCGCCGCGGGCGCTTCCTCAGGATGCATCGGCAGCGCTTTGGGATCACTGGTTTGTAGAGCTTCTGGAGTTTGCTTCCCAATGCTCCTGTTCTCCCGTTTTCAGCCACCCTGACCTGGTGCCAGCCAGACACTCGCGGTGAGCCCCCGTCCCCTCGGCACGGACACGCCGTGGTCGCGGCTGGGACCCAGCTCTTCGTACACGGCGGCTTAGCCGGTGATGTTTTTTACAGCGATCTCTTCTGCATCGACGTACGTAAGTACGGAGAGTGGCGGCGGCCGTGTGACGGCTGCTGATCGGGGGGCACCTTTTTTCCCCAGGGATCAGTTCTTAAGTGCTTAAAACACTATCTTTTTTGTTTAAAACAGCGAGACTTGTGTTTTATAGCACATAACCAGAGGTGTTGTCTCCCGCAGGCGACATGAGGTGGGTTAAGGTACCCGCCCCCCGCCACAGGTGACGTGCCGGCAGGACGAGCGTCCCACGCGTCAGCTGTGTTCAGAGACCACTTGTACATCTTTGGTGGGATAGGCCCAGGCGGGACTCTGGACACCACGTACAAGTACGACATAGGTAGGGAGGCTGCCCTCGGCCGTGTAGACGTAAATCCCGGTGCTGGAGGTGCCTGAATTCCCCCCTCAGCTCCTGGGCGTCCTCCCCTGGTGGTCGTCCCACCGGTGCAAGACCAGATTCCCTGTAACACTGAAAACTGCCCCCGCCCCACTGCGCACTCTCAGCCCGCGAACGTATGTTTGCGCCACCGAGAGGCAGGGGGGGG